CCATCTCTCCAGCCTATCCAGGTCCCCTGGGGGACTAAGGACTGCCAAAATGCACTGAGTAGAGGTGGAATCAGTACCGTAGTTTGGAGGAAACGGAAACTGCTGTGCGTTTGCCTGCGGGATCCGCGGGTTGCTCATGGTTGCTGGTATGCCACCAGTGGCCACCATGCTGGGAGTCATGTTCAAGCCTTGCCCTCGCATCATCAGCGTCCGCTGCTGCACCTGCTGCTGCTGCTGCTGCTGGCACTGAGTGACTCTTAGGTTCATGAGTCTGTCTTTCCGCTGCCTCTGCGCCAGCATCTGCGCGTTGATAGGGCCCTGCAGGGAAAACCACCACCACCCATCAGTAACCCTTCTAAGGCAACCTGAGCAGTGGAGGCATCTCCACTAAAGCAATCTGGAAGATTCCAGCTTTTTTTCCCCCATCACACATATAAAAATAATATAAACCAGGAGAAAATAATCCTATTAATATTTCTGCTGGGAAAGACTTCCAACAGTGCAAAAGTCACTAACTGATATAATACCAGTGTTTAATATTGCAATGATTTGTAATTGCAAATAGAGCAGCTCATTATAAAATGCATCTTTAGGAAATGACAAGCATGGTTAAAAATGCAGTTATAGCATATCTCTAGTAAGCCACCATCCACAACATGTAAATATGGGGAAGACTCTCAGAAATAAAGTGTTAAAATACTTCCTATCATGCAGACTGTGTTATTTGTATGGCAACTGTCTTCACCACATAGCATTACTACTATATTATATTGGGGGAAGAAAGAAAAAATGAAGTGATTTTTTTATTTTAAGAGGTATTACTTCTCTCACCTGTGTGGGCACTCCAGGTCTCAAAGACAGATTCATATTGGAGACACTGCTGATCTGATTTATCAGTGGCTGCCGATTCTAAAGAAAAAAAACGAAACCACCCCAACACCAAAACCCCCAAGTTTTTAGAAGGAAAGGGAAAAAGGGCAGTGTTACATACAGATTTATATACATCTATTTCCCTGATCAGCTGCTTAAAAGACCTAGTTTTACATATTCAAGAAGGGATTAATTTTCCTCCTCAAGTCCTATTGTCGTTCACAGAATGTTGTTTCTTAAGGAGATAATAGGCCATATAAATAACAACACAGGCACTAAGCCATTTACCAAAGATGCTTTGTTCACAGTTCCTGTCCTTTTTCAGTTTGGGACTGGACTGTTGAGGTTTACTCTGAATTAGAACCTATCCTGATGTTTGAAGGCAGAAATGATGTTTCCTCCTTCAACAGAAAAGCACTTATATCTCATTTACAGTACTACGAACTTAGATATTTAAAAATGAAACAAGAAACAGCTCTAAAACAATCCTCAGAAGTAGACCAAAGCCAATGGGGAAAAAAGAAGCATGTAGGTAACAGGTGAAAAGAGTCAAGATGCAACAAACAGGAAAAGACTTACATAACACCACCAATGTAATCTTGCTTCAAGACTTAGCGATATCTAGGCTTAAATACTAGTCATGTTCTTGCACGGTATTATAGAAAGAATAACAGAAAGATGCCAATAAAAGATCAATGAGAACGTGCAAGTTACTGGCTTGTCAAAACTCATTGCGGCTATTGTGCTTAGTTTTAAAGAGGAACAAAGCAAGACCTGGTCTGTTTGGAGCAAGCTGACAGTATGTGCCTGAGCCGGGCATGGAGGGGGCTGTACCTGCTGTGCCTGGAGCCTGTGCTGCAGCTGCAGCCGCAGCTGGTTTGGCTGGTTCTGCACGAGGCCGGCGGGGCGCAGGCCGGGCCGGGCCTGCATGCGCAGAGCTGCGTACCCTGGGCGCTGCCCCATGGGGTGGAAGTTTGGGTCCTGCATGGGCGCGTAGCTGCCCTGAGCCATCTGAGCCTGCGCCGCGTACTGCTGAGAGAACACCGGAGCCTTCTGCTCCATCAGGATGCTGGACTCCTGGCTGGAGAAGGTCTCGGGGTCGACAGCTTGGCTCTGCAGAAATACACGAGCAATAGAAACAGTTGGTGGGACACAGCTTTCCAGAGGATTATACGAGACTAATACAGCCACCCCGCAAAAACAGCCTTCTAGGATGTGAATATTTTTAAGCAGAAAATTACGTAAGTTTTCTCTACCTAAATATAAAACTTAAATATAAACAGAATTGTATTTTTGAGTATCAAAACATATTTTCAGGAACAAATTCCTCCTCTCTCTTTTCTTTTTTTTAAACAAAGACCCACAATCTTTCTCATGTTCTTAACATAGCCATTATATCACTCTTCTCATTAACAAAAACCTGGAACAACAAATGCTAGGATCAAAATCTGTAAATGAAGTGATGCCAGCATATTTTTACCACTGAATCTGAGATAAATTCAAAGACATTACAAATGAATAAATAGATTTTTATCAGTATCTTTAAGCAAAATAATGACTTCAAATAAAGATGCCTGAAACTATTACAAAAGCTAATGTGAACTGAGTGCCTAATTCTTTCAGAGCACTTTTGCACAAACTGATTATCCATTAGCATAAATAAGCTAATACCATTCTAAACTCCATTCTAGAGGCTCCCCTAATACTTGCTATAGTCAGAATAATTTTATAGCGCATTTGACACTGACCTTGAAAATTAAGTTAATCTAAATTTCAGTGCCCTCAAGAAAGAAAATCTTTAAGCTCCTATAAAATGTTCAATGGCTATTTCAGAAAACATGTTCTAAAATAAGACAGTTCCCTTTTCTGCGAAATTCTTTAACTGTTTCCACTGACATATTAATTAAATAGAAACATATTTACCACTTAGTTTGAAATAAAACATTATTCATATTTTTTGGTGGTGGATTTCCAAAACCTATGTAATATTGCATGAAAGATTCACACTGCAAAATTGAAGTTCACCAATAAATTGTATCTCCAGCTTAACACCTCACTGAGTTCTGTGTTGTACCAAACAGGCTTGGAGATGGCTTTCTCATGTTCAAAGCAGAATTTCATTGGTCCTATTTCATATCTAAAATGCAGAGCTAGTTGTGAAGTTATGCTCAGGGTGCTGATGAGTGCTGGGAAATGAAATGGGTATTCTAGACTCCTCTGAGAATATTAAATCATTATATAGACATGTACAATTCTGTTGCCAGAAATATCAGGAGCTAACTTTTCCCCAAAATATATATATTTTTACCATATTTTTTTTTGTTCCACCATGTAAGATTGAAATAGACAAGAACAAACTGGAAGCCAACAAAAATAACTCTGGGTTAAAAATCGATGAAAAGCATAGTACAATTTCATGCTGCAAAGTTTAGTAAGCAAGCTCATAATTTACAAGAAAAATAAAACTGACAGTTTAAGTGCTTGGGATGATATCAGCAGCTTCACACGAAAGTCATTTCTTTAGCTGATTCATTAACCAACTAAGAGAAAAAAACTACAGGTGAAATTAGACATTACAAGTTTGCTCATCCAAAAGCTTGTTGCCCTTATCACACAAAAGTCTTGATCCTGCTCCTCTGCTTCTAGGTCTTCATATTCTTTTTCATCTCCCCTATACTCTGTTGCTGGCCGCAATCTTACCTTTCTCCCCTACAGTTGTTCCTCTGAGCATGATTTTTTTTGTTTTGGTCAGTTTAGTTGCATAAAGCAGGTCAGAAGAAGGAGATCTAGGTGAAGGTGGCAGGGGAGAGGAAGGAAGACAAAACCTAGGGCTGAAGGAAGCTTGTCAGGTGACAGTGAGCCATCAGATGGACTCCCACCAAGATCTAACTCCATCATAGCTTGTAAGAAGTGTATTATAATTCTCTTTTTCAGCACACATATTACATCCATCTTGACAACATATCTTTTGATAGTAATACCCAATACATGCAAAATACCATGGTTCAGTATACCTGGCTAACTAGTTCTGGTATTCCTAGAGCCCTGTCGATTTCTTCTAAACCATCAAAATTCCTTAATGCCATGTAAAGCTGATCTAGGAGAGCACCCTCATCACTTGGTGACTCTGATGAAGGATGATTACACAAGAGATCATCTGGTGAGCTGCCAAATGGTTGCCTGTGAAAACATGAACAAAGCCTTGGTAAACAGCTGCTGAAAAACAAGAAATAATATCAGAGGATTAGTACTCAAACTGAACTAACAAGTGGAAACAGAAATTATTTTACCTGCTGCCAAATTTGTTTAGAAAATTATTCTGGACAAAAGTTATGCTACCCAAAGAAGTAACTAAATAGTGTGATTAATACCTGTCATGACCCTACAAGCATGGTGCATGTGACAATCCAGAAGGCACACCAAGTGCTGATTTCATATTACAGGGTCAAGAGAGGAACAGTATAAAATATAGTCACTGAAGACTAAATACTTGTTTATTAAAGACTATTTGCAACTTGAATTTCAGATGTCAGATGAAGTACACTATCACATGCAGAACTAATTCCCATAGACTCTCCTATTATCTGGTTTTCTATCAGGCTAAGCAAACCAAAGAGATCACAGAGGGGTCCATGAATTGTCTGAGTTTGCACAAACTGAACATCTGGAAGAGCTGGGCAGAAGCATGAGGGAGTTGGGAGAAAAAGGCATTCCCCTTTTTGTTTGCAGCGAAACACTGCATCAGCTCACCCCATCTTATGGAACTGCACACTTGGGTACCAGTCTATGCACTTGGTTTTGTGCCTCGGAAGGATATCAGCAAGATTTTGGATACTGTTAGGCAGAGTGTGGTAGTTCTGTAAATCCTACTTACCTCACCCCTGAATTTGCATGCAAAGCACACTCACAGTTACAAAGGCAGAATAAAGGTTTATTCTAAACCCAAAGGACAAAACTTCCTAAACAAACTAGGTATGAAATAACACCTTATCTGCAGCCAAATGACATATTTCTGTTCTGCAGCTCACACACCTGCCCTGCTTCATGCACACTACTACAAGACTACAATAGAAAATATAAAGAGCAAAGCATTCTGCAAGCAAGGGCAGCTACTACATGCACACGAGGGAAGAATCTCATCCCAGATAATTACTCAGAGACAACAAAAGCTGTCACACATGGAGGAGGGAAACAGCACTATATGTGAGACCTTTTTACATATCTGTTAGAAAAACAAAGAAACATGTTTGCGTATTTAGTTTCCATAATGAGATATATGGTTGCCATGGAAGTCTAATCTCTATGTCAAAGCTGAGCAGAAGGAAAGAGCTGCATCGTCAGGCTATACACTGAAAAAACCCAAAGGAAGGCAGGCAAAAAAGTAACAAAATGTATTCTATTTAATTAGATCCCAGACAGCAAAAAAAAAGAAAAAAAAAAGGGATATAGATGACATACCTTGAACACACTGCAAAGTATTAATCAATCTCATATATAGAGAAGTTTCTATAACTCTCACAGACAGAATTATAAATCAGTGAAAGGGAAGGACAAAAAAATATCCTTTGATTCAAACTGCCTGCAAACTTTAAAGATGACTTATAACAAGGGATCTACAATCTGGAAAAACAATCAATGAGGCTAGCAAAATAAACCTCCCTGAAATTGAAAATGGGGATGAATACACATAATAAGGAAAACTTCAAAACATTTGTCAAATCCTGTATGTTAAACAACAACAATTACTTGCAATTACAATTTCCCCATTTATCAATGGTAATGTTAAGAGGGTCTGTTAAAGAATCTTTTTATTCATGATTTAACTTAAACTGAATTTAATACACAGGGCAATAATCAGATAATAAAAATACCAATTGTGGAGATTAATAAAATAAGAAACAGCAGCACCAACCAATTGATCATCTCTGTTTGGGTGTAGATGATCAAAATACAGTTACTTTCAGATGCAATGCAATGGGAATTTTTTCACCATCTTCAGCTACAAGGAAATTATGAGAAATCCAAGGTAAAAAAAAAAGGAAGAATTAACTTTCGGTCTGACCAGACATGATCCTGTATTTTATTTTAAAGTGTAATTTTTAAAGTGAATAATTGAGCTATGCAAACAGTGCTTTTTGCATAAGAATACTCTGAGGGAGAATTAGTACCAGGAAACATGTTGAAAAGCATGAAAACAGAGAAAATGCACTGGCTTATCTATTTTGCATCCCTTAGACTGTCCATATATAGAGGTTCTCTAATGTAATCTGCGAACTTTCTGAGAAGACATGGCTCTTTTTAAAGAAGTGTAAACTGCTCATCATAGTTTTGCCATTATTTAGAAGTCTTAATAATGAACAAAGTTAATACATTACATTATGAGTTAATGAGTTGTGATCAATCTGTAGATCTGATTACCCGAGAAGGAGCTAACTTCAGGGAAAAGGCAGCTCTCCTTTCACTTCATCTTTCATTCCTCATCTTTTGCAGAATTTAGATCAATTAAAAAGCCCCAAATAAAACATAATTAACCATGTCCTGCATCACTTAAAATGCTACCCCACTGCAGGAAAAGACAGCTATGTTATAACCAAATAGTTATGGCTAGTACTACTGGCATTTTTCCACATTTAGTGTTAAGTGCAATTGTTAACAATAAGAGCAACAAAATCAGACAGAATCATGCCCACATTAATGCTCCAGAGGTAAAAATGGTGCATGTACGCAAAATGTTGGCGGCATTCACTGTGATACAGAACTTCCAATTCTTTCAACACATTAAAGGGCAAAGAGAACATTTATAAGTATTACTGGAACACACATTTAATGAGTATAAAATACTACAAGCATTAAATTGGTGTACACTTGGTGAATATTTCATGGAGAACTTTGTTTCCATGAGGTGTATAAAATATAGGCCTGTAAAATCTCTCTGTGTTTTGATGTGACACGAAGACTCACCTGTTCTGATTACCAAACGTTGCCTGTTCTATAGGCAAGATGCTGTCTGGCCATGGTGCAGTCTGATTTGGAGGCGCCTGTTGTTGGCTGTACTGAGGTCCTCCTATGTTCATCTCCAATTCAGATGGCCCTAATCAAGGAAAAATAACCATATAACTTTTCTGAAAAGAAGCTACTTTCATGTTAATTATATGCACTGAATTATCTATTCTATGGCAAAAGCAAATGGAAACATTAAGACTTCTAGAACATTCCACTTAAAAGCATAATTTTTTTTGTTAAAATTTACTTTTAAAATTTGGGAAAACATGAGAACTCTGAAAGTGGTTCAAAATGATAAAATACCAGATACAACATCAAAGATGCAAAAATAAATAAGTATATAAAAAAAGATGGTATATATAGTCAATATTGTAATGTACTTGCTTTAAAAGTGACCAAGAACATTGATAATGTTCTCAGCATTTCCTTTAAAAAAACTCCACAGTCTTTAGTGAACAAGAGCAACTTCATATCCTCTTTCTTTGGCTATACTACTGTGGAGCTATAGAGTGGCAAGAACTGTCCACATAATACATGCATTACAATTCAGTGTTTTGGACACCTTCCTTTACACCTCCACTATGAAATACGGTTCTCATCAAATCTAGAATTGAAGTGAGCTTTCCCTTTTTTTTCCCCTCCCCGCCTGACAGTTGAGCGCATGCCAGAAGGAACAACTCCACACTTGCCCTGACTTACCCATATTCATGACCTGAGATGGAAGCATCTGCCTGGGGCCGGGCTGGTTGCTGGGTCTCAGGGGGATGCTGGCCGTGGGGTTGCGGATCATGCCTGCTTGCACCGGCCTGTTCATAGCACCAGCTGTGGGTGTGCAGGTCACCCTCACAGCAGGGGCCTGGCTTCCCCAGTCTCCAGATGTCATGGCAGGCCGAGGGGCACTGCCTCCGATCATTCCTGCACAAAAGCCAAACAAACTTAAAGTGCCAGCATATGACTCAGAACAGCTTTAGCACTACTGCTGCCTGACGAGCTGCACTTTTCGCAATGAAAATGCAGTAGTTTCACTCGAAGCACATTGTACCACAACTGCCCATCCAGATGTGCAAAGGTAAAGAATGACACCTCACACTGCTTAGTCAAGGGACTAGAGATTGTTACACATTTTACAAAAGGAAGATCCTTTTATCATTTCCAAGACACTGTTCAGAGTAAGTGTTCCCACATGTAGTCTGCAACAGGTGCTGAGGGTGTGTGGATAGTCTAAACTTCCTTCCTCAGGAAATGAATCACGTTTGCTGATGTGTGTGTCAGAGCTTTACTTTCCAAGTTCTAAATGAGAATTGGGACTTGAGTAACAATGTGTTAACATTAAACACACTTACAAATTAGAAGGATTGAATATAATTCACATTCTGCAAACATCTTTAGGCAACTTCTTTCATTTGGAACCTAAAGCCTTTTTAGCTTCAGTGCTCACCCAGATAATCTCAAGCAAAAGTACAGTACAGGGAAATTACTCACAGGAACTTTCCGATAGATGCTGAAGTTCATTACCGTTATTTTAGGGGAAGTCCTCCCACATCTACTGTAAACAACTGATAGAGTTTATTTACACTTGGAATATATAGAGTACAACACTCTGAGTAGCCAAAAAACCTCAACCAAACCCCAGCACAAAAATCCCCAAACCCAAAGATGGGCATTCATTGTATTATACACTTCAATTTTCACCAGTCAAGAGAGCAGATAAAGAACTGATTTCAGACTGGACTACTGGCCTTTCCAGTTGCATTTTGCAACATTCTTAAACAAATACTAAAACACACACAAATAATTACTACTAATCACCGGTACAATTATTTGATGACATATAATCAAAAGACAAAAACCCTCTGAAGAGGGCCTGCTGCTGCACAAAATCTGCTTTAGTGTTACATCCTCCGTTTTGTTCTACTTGTGTACATACTGTATCAGCTGAAATATGTGGTGTGCCAGAGCAAATGGCAGGAACACAGATAATACTCTCTAACTTGTATACATAAGATGAATAAAATCCTCTAATATGCATACAGAACATGAAAGTAATAAGACACTTGAAAGAATACAAGTTGACCCCTAAACTGCTTAAATAGGATATTTGGGATCTGTGTCTGGCAGCATGTCTTTTTTTAATACTGATGCAAACTAAATATAAAAATTTGACACTGAATAGGCAGCTGAAAGGACTTACAATGCCCATTTATTTACTGAGAGCTCTTCCAGCAGTTGTCACACACTTGCAGAGTCTCAGACTATGCACTAGTTGAAATAAGTCAATCAGCCAGACTTTTCGTGCCAAACGCACTATGATATCTTTGTACATTATTAAGGCAACATGAAGAAATTAATGCACCACAGATTAGGCATAATCCATGACAAGAGGTAATACCACTGCAGCAGCTCATGGTTCCCAAAAAGGTTATGTGTCAGGAAATGATGAAAACATTAGCATTTATTTAATTTCAAATGAGAACTAAGGCTACTAAATAAAAGATAACCAGAGGCAAAACCAAGGTCTGTAGAGACACGTCGTAAGAGCATCAGCATTGCCCACAATTTTGTTTTGAAAGACCCACCCCTATAGACTAGTGGTTCATTTGTGCTTTCAGGCAGAAATATAGGTAAAAATCCAACCTAAGCCTCAGCTGGATCTGTATGTAGTATTGATGTGAACAGGCTCTAATTGCCAATACACTGTGTTCATCTAGAAGTTTTCAGGTAGGTAAAAAGCATAAAGGGCAGCACTCAAAATATGCAGAAACAGAAATTCAAAATAAATATACTAATATATAAAATCCCACAAAAAATTATTTTTTCCCAGACTTTTTGGAAAGTAATAACCTGCACCTGCAATAACCCAAACATTAAGGTGCACATGTAGTGGTCTGTTACTCAAGTATATTTAACAAAAAAAATAAATAAAAAGAAAGTCATCTTACCTGTGCTACTGTTGCCTAAGGTTCCTTGACTTCCTATCATCCCTTCATTCCTGCCCATCAGTCCTGGCTGAGGTATCACTGAATAGGGGCTACTCGTTCTTATGGGTGGGAAAGTTCCTGCACCTGTTGGGTTCTGCAGTGTGATGTCAAGTGGTAGATTCTGGTTTGGTAATAACCTGCCCAGTTGCCCTGCTCGTGGGTTATTAAAAGCTAGACAGGAGGAGCAAAGAAAAAAAGCAAAGTTACAAGAATGGAAACTTTACTGGGTTAAAAAAAAAAAAAAAAGAAAAAAAAGAAAAAAAAAAGAAAAAAAAAGAAAAAAAGAACCCAGACACAATTAAACCTCTTGGGCTGAACTATTTGATGCTGCATAATTTACCCACTTCATATCTGTCTGAGAAACATCCCTTCTTGACATTTTAATGCAAATTTCAAAATGGAACGTTCTGACACTAAACACGGATCTGATATGATTTATATTTTAACAAACTTTAAACGATGCAGTTTAACTGACAGAAGAGCTACTACAGCAAAATACACCACTATGAGATGTGCGTACTACTGCCAATTAATCTTATACCTAGTTGGACTGTAATTGCATGCAGATGTCATCCTGAGGCATATTGTTAGGAATTATCTCAGTTTTGAAAGTTTTCCAGAATAAGCTGTGCCCCAAAGAAGTTATCAAAATTAAGGACAGATTGAGCCTATATGGGATACTACAGTCCCATCTCTCTATGTCCCTTGATGGCTTCCATGATTCAGCAACAACAAATAGCCAGTCCAGAATTAGAGCTGTGCCACCACAATATTCTGCTAAAACAGAACCATCCTGGATAGTTACTGTCACCTTTCCATAACTATTTCTTCTGGTTTGTGCTTTTAAAATTAGCCTCTGTAAAGAAAACTGCGGACTACCTCAGCAAAGTGTTTCAGACTATGACTGGCAAGCATCTGGCTCAGCTGGTCTTTGGGCAATGTTCCAATGCATGAAAGCATCCCCTATGTGAACAACTAGTTCTTAAACATGAATCAAACACTGACCTTGTAGCTGTGATTTCATTTCCAATCATATCCACAAAATACATACAAGTAAATGAAACATTTTTTGTGAAATTCTTATTTGATATACTTCCTGATATCTTCCCCTAGGAGACTCTGGTATAACAGCATCCTTAAAGTGACTTCTGCATTTTTATGTTCACCGTGTTACAAAGAAGTTAAAGAACTTCTTTCTTGGTTTAGATTAAAGTAGTGATATTTTTGAATCTGAAAACTTAGATGAGGTTTATTAAACTTGTAAAAAAGTACAGAAACATCTTATTACAAAGGTGTCTGACTTTTGTTCTCATTTTATAAAACCAGACTGCAGGAACTCTTGTACTTATCTTTATTTAATGTAAGTTCTCTGCAAGGTGAATTTGCTTATATGCATGTAGAGGAAATACATCACATCACATGCACCTCACTTCCAGCCAAGTTTTGTCTTGTCTGTCTGTTCAAACAAGCAAACAAAACTTACTTATGAGACAAAAACGACCTTCTCAAGATTAGGGGCATCAGTCTAAGGACTGAAGCAAAAATGAACTTCAGTGACAATCTCAGAACAGTTTGCCTCAGAAGTTTGAAAGAACACATAGAGAAGTGAGTATGTGTAGCTTTGCCAGCACCCACTGACTTTATAAAAAGGAAAGCTGGAAATGCAGCACAAAATAACAACAGAGTTGATGAGTTTTGATGGTGCTCATATCACATATTCTACTCTTGGTTAGGGTGGGAGTGAACGAGGCTCCCTGTCCCCCACATAACAGCCTCTAGCAATTTGGCAAATCTATCAGCATTTTTTTTAAACACAGAAATATTTTCAGTATTTTCATGCAAAATGTGTAAAATAAAAGTTGGCTATTTCTTCAGGAAAAAAATTTTAAAACTTAAAACCTCTTTCGGAGTTGTATACGATTTGACATTCATTCTATATTCTTTTCTGTGGGCATATAAGAAGCCCCCAGCTATTTCTGTGCACCTGTTTTCTGTATGCTCTTCTACTGAAAACAACACAGAAGTTCCTAGGGGAATCAGGCACAGAACCAAAGCTGAGCTGGGGAAAAAGTTTTAGGGGTTTAATTTAGATGAGAAACAGGATGCTGCTTTTACTGAACTGCTGCTAACCACCAAGTCACTCTCATTTACAATCATACTCTTACTGTACTGCCAGTAGCTTTGAAAGCAGATTTAAAGCCAGGTTAACACTGGAAAGCTAAAAGGCTACAGTAGAAGGAATCAACAGACCTTGTGGCAGGAAGAATATGCTAAAGACTTCACATGCACAGATTTCCTTCTGACTTTTGTGCTGCTGCTGTTAATACCTGCATACTTACAAAAATGAGTACATTAAATTCAAGCATCTTTCTCTCAGCAACATGAAAACAAGAGATAATATAAGGATCCAAACTGGCTTTAATATGAATTTAAACACGAATATTTATTACTAATAGATTACTAATATTTATTTAAACACTTCTAAGTAATAAATTGAGTTAATTTGGAAATGGCCTGGTGTTATTTTAGTATTATCAGAATGGCTTAAAATATTATCTAAACCCTATGTTTTACAAAAAAACCCATCAGTGTACATCTAAGAAAATAAATAGATGCTGCCATAATAGCCAACAGGAGCAAAAAAATGAAGCAGTGGCTCTTTATGCTATTTTATTCAACATTAGTAGCTGGTAAGACTCTTGTCTTACTCCCTTTCCATTATTCTGTGGTGGTAAACCAACATTTCAACACTGATTTCTAAGCTAATTAATAAAGTTAAGGAAAGCTGTCAGCTGCAAGCGACTCATTTAAAAGCCACAATTTCAAATGAAGCTTGGGCATTCCTCTTAATTTTCTGTCCTTCTATTAATCTTGTGGTTTTAGAAGATGACTCTCCTCCACGCTTAGAGAAGCCTCTTGTTCCTTTCACTGCAAGAAGTGCTCAACAGGAGTGATTTGCATCACAAGAAGACGCACACGCTCTCCGTGAAAATCCCTTGCAGAAGCAGCATCACATGCAACCAGAGCAGGAGATGTTTGACTTATTGTGAGGGTGCCCTGCAAACCCCTCGGAAAACACTGGCAGGGAGTGAGCAGACACCACCCGCGCGAGAGGCCGCAGATGGCGCTGTGGCCCCGCAGCACAGCGCGGGTCGCTGCTGGTCGCGGCCGAGGGACGGCGAGGGATGGCCGAGGGATGGCTGAGGGATGGCCGAGGGATACCCGAGGG